CTTGAGATGGTGCAAAAGTGTCCAGTTCTGGGAACCACATTTCAGGAAAGATGAGGACAAATTGGAAAAAGTCAAGAGAAGAGCAACAAAAATGATTAAAGGTCTAGAAAACATGAACAAGGAGTGAAGACTGATAAAAACTGGGTTTGTTTACTTTGGAAAAGAGAAGACTGAGAGGTGATATGATAACCATTTCCAAGTCACTAAAAAGTTGTTATGGGGAGAGGGATAAAAATTATTCTCCTTAACCTCTGATGATAGAACAAGAAAGCATGGGCTTAAATTGCAGCAAGGGAGGTTTAGATTGGACATTAAGATCAGGAGAGAGGACTTGATGACTTCCTGAAGTCTCTTCTGATCCTTTGATTCTATGCTTCTCTTATGCCAAGATATGTGTGATGCTTAAAGCAGGTATGTGAGGGTATGTCTACACTTGATTCCTCCTTTGAGAGAGGAATGCAAATGTAGACATCCAAAATTGCCAATGAAGCGGGGATTTAAATATCCCGCTCTTCACTTGCATAATCTCGGACTGCCACTTTTCCACAATAGTGCTATTTCAAGACATCAAACTCGGTCCCCGTGGAGTTATTTCGAGAGAAAACCCTTCCCTCGAAATAACCATTACTCCTCAAAAAATGAGGACCGAGTTTGATGTCCCAAAAGAGAGCTACTGCGGGAAAGCGGCAGCCTGCAATTATGCAAATGAAGCGAGGGATAGTTAAATCCCTGCTTCATTTGCAATTTCTGATGTCTACATTTGCATTCCTCCCTCAAAGAAGGAATCAAATGTAGACATACCCTAAGGGTGTGTCTAGACTACATGGCTCCATCGATGGAGCCATGCAGATGAATTTACTAGACATAGCAAAATGAAGCAGCGATTTAAATAATTGCCGCTTCATTTACATCAAAATGGCCACTGCGCTGTGCTGACAATCAGCTGATCGGCACAGCGAGGTGGCCATTTTGATGTAAATGAAGCGGTGATTATTTAAATCGCCACTTCATTTTGCTATGTCTAGTAAACTACCTACATGGCTCCGTTAATGGATCCATGTAGTCTAGACACACTCTGAATGTATAACGGATAATATCCCTCTGGGGTTGGAATTCTGCAGATGACTAGTTGGCTCATTAGTGCCACACACTGCTTCTGAAAGAGAGCTGGAAATTAATCTACTGACCCTTATAAAAGAGGGTAGTAGGAAATGGAGGAGGAGATAGCAACACTTTCCAGGACCTATGGTCTATGCTTCCTAACCACTGCTCTGGGAATTAATGAAGAGAGTTTTTGCTTCAAAAACCAAATAAGCAGAAAGGATTTGTGATTCGCTCACAAGGTGTGAGACTCAGCTGGAAGGCCCTATGGGAGAAGGAGAACCTAAGGACTGAATTGTAACTGCCATTGAGGCATAGATTCATAATTTTTAAGGTTAGAAGAGGCTATTGTGATCAGTTAATCTGATCAACCATAATTTTTAAGGTTAGAAGAGGCTATTAATTGTGATCAGTTAATAGATTCATAATATAGAGCATAGAACCTAACCCAATAATTCCTGCTTCAAGTTCATAGCTTCTGTTCATACTACTTAGAAAAATATCCAATCTTGATTTAAAGACTGCATGTTATGGAGGATTCATCAAAGCTCCAAGAGGCAACTGTGTTAGTCTGTATCTACGAAAACAATTAGAAGTCTTGTGGCAACTTAAAGACTAAAAGATTTATTGGGTGTAAGCTTTCATTGGTAAAAAACACTTTGTCAGATGCGTAGCTCCCTAAGCGAGATATTCCAAGGGTTAATTACACTCACCTTTGAAAATCTGTGACTTATTCCTTGTCTGAATTGGTCTAGCTTTAGCTTTCAGCCATTTGATCTCATTATGCTTTTTTCTCTAGGATTAAAGAGCCATTTACTAGCTGAAATAAATCTCTTAAATATGTAAGTATTTGTAAGCTGTGATCAAGTCACCTCTTAACTTTTTGTGATTGAACTAAATAGATGAACTTCTTCAGTTTCTTACTATAAGGCATGTTTTCAAGGCCTTGAATCATTATTTAATAACTCTTCTGAGCCCTTTCCCTATTTTTTTCAATCCTCCCTACTTGATATTAGCCAGCTTATACATCCATGGTAGTATCACACTTGGAGCTCCAGTACACAGTTTTTCCTGTCACAACACCAAAGACCTTTTCAGTATTTGTGCATTCCAGGATACAGTCCTCTATATCCACATCTGGCCTACTCCTTTTAGTAGCTACTCCTTACTCTGATCTAATGGCAACTCTGCATTCCAATCCTCTAAAATGCAATGCAGCTCAATTCACTTTTCAAGAGAAAACTCTTAGTATTAGAGTATGGATATC